AAAAAAAAAAACTAGCATATGGCTGAAAGATAAAATAACTAAATTCTATGGAAACCTTCAAAGTAAAAGGTGAGGCTTATGTTAAAAGAATGGATTAACATATTTAGTAAACCTATCTTTATGTTTAACACTAGTTAATCAAAGTTATTTTTTTTCTTTTCATGACCTAGTTTTCATATACAGACTGCAAATAACAAAATTTTACATGTCCTTCGTCTCCCTGCCAAATAGATGCTTCAACAAAGTGGTTTTAAGTTCCATCCATTCAGATTTTAAGCATTTTGATTTATTTAAAAAGGGATTGTTCATAGAAAAAATTTACTTTGAACAGTATACAGGACGGTGGAGATTGGCTATTTCACAACATCAGACAGTACAATCAGTATCTGCCATATGGCTGGTCTCGGTAGACACCCTTCGCCGTCCTCGCTGAAGGAGCCTTATGTCTTGAGTTAGTCCATTCCTCTTGCCCTAAAATCAGGAAGATGAATCATAGTTAGGCCATTGTCATGGAGTCCCAGTAGCTTCATTTCATCCGTCAGAACCAGTGGTAAATGTCACACTGGAGCTACATGTCTCTGATGTACTAATAAAAGAAACACAAGGGGATTTACTTAGAAATGTTATGAACACAATACACAATGATCTTGTCACCATGGCATGATCGCTTTGAGAAGAGAGTGACCTTTGTGTTGGAAATAGCTACCAACTGCAAGAACTTCCTCATAGAGCAAATCCAACAGCCTTATCAAAACTCTTAACAGAATGGAAAGGACTATTCTAATTCTTCCAACAGCAAAGAAAAGCAAAAAGGACACAGGTAATTTGGGAAAAGAAAAAGGGAAAACCAAGATCAAAGTGGGAAGGTCAGAAGGAGAAAAAAAAAAGCCACGGCCTCTTGACAGGTTTTCCACAGAAAGACCAAAGGAGGCACATGGGTGGGGCTTTCCTCAGTGACACCATGTCGTGGACAGCTGTCACTAACCACAGGCATTCTATCATTTTTACCTCCTGAAATTCAAGTGTCAGGACTTTCCTTTATCTCTAGGTCTCAGACAGCAAACAGTTAAGTCCCTGCTGCAACACAAAGCAATCAAAAAAGCCATGTGTCCTCAGAGACCAATTTAAAAAGCTGTGAGAGAAAAATGCTGAAAATGACCTCTTCTGATACAAACATGCAATCAATGTCACTCCCTTTGGCTAACTTGCACCATGTTAAGTAGGCAGCACTCACCAAGCCAATGCATCTCTCTTAAATGTTTATTATGAATAACAATAAAAAAAACCCCAAACCAACCAAACAACACAAACCCAGCAGACCCTGGCTGGTGAAGTGCACCAGAAAATGGGTTTGCATTAAGTTCAGGAAATGTCTCAGAGCTGACTTCCCAGTGTCCTGACTCACTGGCACAGGGTACCCGGCATTCCTGGAGCTTTGCTACCGATAGAAGCTTCTTGTTCTCTGACATCTCTGCCTTGAGGCAAAGGCACTTCTTAGCACTGTTTTGTCACTGCCCTCAATACTGGTAATGAGACTCCGGTCATGGATTCCCCAGCACCTTTATGGGCCCCTGCAGAACTAAGAGGAGTTACTTCCTACTGAGCCTGATAGACCCTTGTGTCTCCTCCAAGGTCCACTTTTGTAACCTTTATGAAATGACTCTTCGCATAATTGTTCCGAGGTCTTGAGGTTGGGGATGAGGTAGAATATAAGGATGGGGGAGGGGGAAGCATGAGAGCTGCAGTCTCAATGGCTTCATTTCTTCACTGTCAAGGAACAAAGGTACCTCAAAAAGACCCACGCCAGCAAGTGTCTACAGTTAGGCAACCTACTGTGTGGAGGGACAAGGTCAGCACTGACCATCAGCCCAAACAAAACACCTAGTGTGGGATCTGAACTCAACAGTCTTTAGCTATCCTTAAATACTGCATTTAACTATTAGAGGAGCCTCTGACAATAGCAAGGCGTACACAGAGGAACTGAGAGGAGGAAGCCCACACAGAAAATGAATTCATTGTTAAGCAGGTATGGGTCTCCCTTCCAATAAGGACTTGGAAGGTTTGTCCATGGCCGCTCGCCCGCCCTCTCTCTGTGTGACGGTTATGGCCACTCACTCACCATAGGAATCGTAAGCCTCCTCACCGAGTCCATGCCCGTAATCATAGTAATCAGCTCCGCTGCACGAACAAAAGAAAACACTGTTAGCACAAGATGCTTCTGCTGTGGGCTAAGTCACACCCAACAAAGTACTCAAAACTAGATAAACTAAAAATAGAAAGGGCTAAAGTGGAATTAATTCCTCCTGAAATGACAGAATGCTGAAGGCACACAGACTTTTTGACTATTCAAAGGCCCTAAACCAGGTGTCGTGGGGGATGAGCGGGAAGCAGTGGACACCATTTCTTTCCACAGAACTGCGTACCATGACTGCTGTGGGCACTCTATCCATTCATCGAACAGCAGGCCTAGCCAGGAGTGCTTCTGCTCTCTATCATGATAAGAGCAGCAAAAAAACTCACTCCCGGGTGCCTGGACGGTGTGCAATGGGAGAGGCACATGATTCACCCGAGGGAGTTACAAGGTCTTTTCAATGGATAGGGAAGTCTAGGTTTTAATCTACAATTCCCCAGACAGTAAGGAAAGCCTGCAGTTGCCACCACTGGGCAGATACTATAAAAATGGGCTTCATCTTCATACCGTATTTGAATTGTGTGAGTTTCTGTTTTGTTTTTACAGACAGAAGTTCGGTTGCCAAGCCACAAGAGATCTGAGTATCTGAAGAAGAGGGTGCATTAACCCCTTTCGGCTTTCCTCTTTCCCACCAACTTTTTAAGAAGCAAGCATCCTTATTTCAAATTCCAACAACCAGACATGAAGCTTCCCAGCACAACGGAACCCAGCTTGCATTCTACACCTCTACAACATGGTGTCTTCTGCTGTCTGCTGAGATCCACACGCTCTGGGACCAAGGTAGGGGAGCTGTCATACCATGTTATAGGGGAGATGGATAGAGGACCAGTCTAAAATCTCAATGGTAACAGCACACACAGCTCACTCTACTTGATGCACAGACCCCAGTTGCAGGCTATACCCTACCTCCTTCATTTTTCATCCTGGTCTGTATCAGAGGCTTCCACAGCAGGCACGGAGTGGGGGGCAGTGTGTGGAGAAGGGTGTACACACAGACACACACACCCTGTGTCCCAGGTAGAGAGTGCAATGCTGCACAATGTTCTGAGGGGCCAGGAAGATGGAGTGGAAGGAACAGGCAGAAGGCATAAACACAGCATAAACAAAGGAAAAAGGATGAGAAACCCAAGTGTTTTCAAGTGACTTTAAATAGAATTACCAAGTGCTAATAATAGCTTCCATGGGACAGAACGTCCTTCAGGATAGGCCTCTAAAGTTCACCATACAGGATAGATACCCTGTAAACCTAGGCTATCCGCATTCTCCTTCCCGTTAGCTGAACACAGTTGAACACACTTGTTCCAATGTGAGCATGCTGTGCTGGAGGCACAGGCAGAGCTTTAAAAATGCTCATCAGCATTCCCACAGAACTGAGAAGAAGGGGAGACAAGAGTGGACCTGCACCAACCTGGCCCGATGCCTTACTGGCAGCTTCCCTTGGGCACAATCCCATCTGATCTAAAAATCTGTTTTTACTGTTTTATGTCAATGAGGCGCACAGAACCTGAGGGCACTGTACCCACTAGTGGCAGCACAGCCACACCTGAGCCTCTGCTACCATGCACAGGACAAAGGCCGTGATTCTCTGAGATGATCACACCTCCCCGGAGCCCACCTGACCCCTCCTCACACTCAGCACAGAAGGCAGGGTCCACACGGACTGTGGTGCTTTGAAAGTAAATGGTCCCTAAAGAAAGTCAGAAGTAACGTCATAATGGCTCTTTAGTCAAATGGAACTTGATGGTTCTTGAGAATTTTACCTGTTGCACAGATAAAGTGAGGGTGCCCTTCAGAAAACGGAAAGTGCTTCCTTTCCAGAGACAGCTCCCAATCAAGGTTACCTCAGAGCTAAGACTACAGGCAGAGTGTAAAAACTATCTCATTGATTAAATGACGACACTGGGAATGAACATCCACTCAGGCTGGAAATTTATCTGTGAATGTTTTCCAATGAACAGAAAGATAAAAGGCAGCATAATTTGGCCCAGCATTGGTTTGGTAGTAAGATAATCTAAGTTCGACAAGTGAAAACTTTAAATTGACACTTGTTATAATTTCACCCAGTTTCTGACTATTTATTGCAAGACTGTCATCAAGCTGTGTAGCTGGAGCAGCTGTGCCCGGTCTCCTACCTGTCAGCTTCACCCGAATTGCTTTCACAGCATTTCATTTCGTGTACCTCAAATGTCTATCAACCAAAGATGTGTCCTATTTCCCAAGGATAAACTGAAAGCCATGGCACGGCAGAGGGGGAACAAACACTAAGCAAACTCCATTTAGGGGCACAATTTAAACTATTAGTAGAAATTCCCCCCCAATCCAAAACATGAAGCTGAACAGTTTATACATCAGGTTAGGGACTCCCAAGCTGCTCCTGATCACCTCCACAGACTTGATCCCAGTCCCCAAAGACATGATCACAGAAAGCCCCAATGCTTAGCCTACTTCCTGCCTGGAGAAGCTGTCCGTAAGCTGGCGGTGTAGCTCACAAAAGCTCCATTCCATTATGCCCCCTTCCTTTCTTCAGTTTGCTAGGATGAGCTCACTCATCCTTAAAAGCCATTAAAACACTGGTTCTCAACCTTCCTAATTCCTTGACCCATAACGTGAAGAATGCAGTTCTTCACGTTATGGTGATTTGCAATCATACAATTATTTCATTGCTACACCATAACTGTAGTTTTGCTACTGCTATCTATGAACCGTACTGAAAACATCTGATATAGGACCCCAAGGGGTCTTGACCCACAAGCTGAGAACCACTGCTCTAAGAGTCATCTCCCTAAGCTGGGAGCAAGAGCAAGCAGAGTCCCTTCAGGGTCCCTCTGTCCCCCACATACATGCACAGCTATGACACTGCACTTGTGTGCAAACACTGTGCAGTGAGTCTCCCAAGCAGGTCCCCAACCCCGAGGTCTGTCGTTTCAGGTTGTGTATAGGTAATCCTTCGAACTGGTAGGTCTTAATCCTCTGAACTCTTCCTGTGCCTCAGTTACCTCACTGGAATATACAAAATATTTGTGTTTCTTAAGCCCTTTCACTGTGGTTTTCTCTTAGTTTCTGGTAGGGCAAGGTAAAGTCTTTCAAGCCCATGTCACCATGCTCCTGTCCCCTCAAACATTTAGCTCTGTGGAGGGCAAGGTGCTTTTTGGCTCTTTTCTACCTTGACCATTAGCTTGATAATCTCTCCTCTACTCTTCGACCTGTCAGGTTAGAGTGTTTGAGTTCAGATGGCAGCCCTCTTTCCTCATTTATTTACACAAATCCCTTGGTGATTTTATATAGTCTCTTTAAATAAAATCTAAGCCACCAAAGCCTCTCAAATTTACATAATCTTTCAAGGTGTTTCTTCTGAGATTTATATTCATGTGCCAACTGCCTTTTAACATCTAAACTTCTAACAGACACTTGACACTCAAAAAGCTCCACATCAGCCTTCTGAACTCTTCCCTCCCAATCTATCTAGTGTGCTGAGAACAAAAGGTCTGGAGTCTTGTACCTGCATCAGGTCTGCTGGTACCATTCCAGCTAGGGCGCAGGAAGACTGTGCCATTCACCTCACCATGGCAACTCTGATCCTTCACCTCAATGAGCGACACAGAACAGCCACCTGAAAGGGACAACTTCTTCCCAATTTCTTCTCAGTTAGTGAGAAGGCAAGACCCACAAAAAAAGGGATGTGTGTCTGTTTTATTCAGTGATGTGGCTCAGCTTCCCTCAGAACAATATCCAGGCCACAGAAAGTACAACTCACTAGATTTTAGCTTAATATATGGAATGAGTGAGTGAATGAATGAATGACATTATAGTTGAAAAAACCATGTATCCCGACAATCTGAAGAGAGGCAATGTTATTAGTAGATAATGCTTGACAAGAGGCATTTCCTCCTCTTCCAGTTCTAAAGGAATGAGATGAAAGGGCTGAAAACCTATTGCTTTTTAAAAGTGGAAGGAGCTTGATCCTAAGCCAGAGCAGAATCATGCATTCAATGAACACAACAGGATCTTTCTGTGAGCAAGACACAGAAACAAGGTGCCACACCCATTCCTGCAAAGCTCATGCAGCTGGCAAGTGCCTGCTAGCAGCACTGGTGTATGGACACCCCATGCAGCCTTGTCTTGTGAGGTAGGAAGAAGAGAGAACAACAGTCAACACAGTTGTCTGACAGGAGATGAGCCACAATGGGGGACACAAGAGGAAGAGGTGAGTAACCTACTGTAAAGAAGGCATTGATGGATGACATACAATATATATTTAATTTATGATCATATGTATATCAAATATTATATATAAATTCATTTTTGTTCACCAATAGTGAAGACTAAGGCTGGAATATCAGTTGGGTGCATCCTTCACATCTGCAAAGTCATGGAGTCTGGAATTTATCCTTTGGACAGCAAAGTGACACCCAGCCCACTTAATGCTAAGTTTTTCAGCTCCGCTCTGCATCCCCGGCATCCGGCCTGCTACCCACCTACCCCTCTGGCAGCCCGTTATGCTCTTCAAAGTGAGTAGAAAACTATCTTTGTTTCTAGAAATCTTTCTTCCTTCTAAAAATTCTTGTTACTATCTTAGTTTCTTTTCATGTGTTGCTATAACGAACTATACTGACAAAGGCAA